GACAGAAGCCCTTCCCACCTCAACTGCCGTGGGTAACGGTAGTGTCCATGCTAAACCTTACCACTGGCTAGGAGAGCTACCAGTTATTAGTGAACCAAAAGAAGAAGAAGAGGAGGAGGTGAAGGAGGAGGAGGAAGAAGAGAAAATAAAGTCCTCAATACCTATCAATAGGACAGAGTCTCCTTCTACTTGGAGGAGAAGCGATTCGTACGAAAACTTTCAAGTAACTGATCTCATGCCACAGATATCACAGAGTCCGATGTCACCAAGTCCGTTGCTTCATTCGGCCACGCCTCCTCTGACACGCCCATCCACGCAACGTTTGTATCAGACCACGCCTCCTCCACGCCCTCACTCTGCTCAGCGTAACTATCCCTCGTTGCTAAAGGTAGCTCAGAGCGAGGAGGACCTACTCAACGAGAGTGACGACCAAAAGAGAAAGAAAAGACGACAAATGACGTTGAGTGTTCGTAGCTACGACACAGACACTCCAGGTAGGGCTAGTTAGTAGGACACACCCATTAGTCACATGACTTGTGTATTTACGTGCTTATAAATTCTATAATTTGATAGAAAACTTAACTAGGATGTTTATCACTATTAATACTGGTTATTAGTCCTTTCATGCACACAGTCCTTAAATTAGCACCCACACTCACTTGGCACTCCTCTTATGATTATTTCATTTAATTTATAATTTATTTATTTATTTATTCTATTAGTTAGTACCGGTCACTTACCCTCAATGTTAGTGTATGAAGTGGAGGAAGGGACCCAGAGAAGACATATTGTGGCACTTAACACTTTCCATGCAACGAAGCTTAGGAAGCAGCTGCCCTCGTACACTAAACTCCATATTTATAATGACCATACTTTTACAGCTACACACATTAAAGGGTGAGGCATAGAGAGAATGCTAAGAGACAATGCCCTAGTCTTAAAAGTAATTTTTGAGTTTAAAAAAGTCAATTTTGAAAAAGTAGAGGCCATAGTATACGGTCACAGGCCAAATTTTGCCGAAATTGAAAAGGAAAGCATTTGTAATTTTTATAATGTTTCCTGATACATATACATGTTCTTATGTTGCTTAGAAAGTTTGAGTTGATTCCGATTAAATTCGGATTTTTTATGAATTTTTAAAGTTGCTCCAAAATTGGGCAAAAGTCCCTGTACTATAGTACAGGGTCATTAGCCAAATTTTGCCAAAAATCACTTGGTGAGAATTCTGCATTTTTATAATGTTTCCTGATACATATACATGTTCTTATGTCGCTTAAAAAGTTTGAGTTGATTCCGATTAAATTTGGATTTTTAATGAATTTTTAAAGTTGCTCCAAAATCGAGCAAAAGTCCCTGTACTATAGTACAGGGTCGCTGGCCAAATTTTGCCAAAATTGAAAAGGAAA